ATGTATTGGACATGGCTACAGTATTACTCAGACAAAAATTTAGAGCTTTAAATACATTTATTAGAGCATTAAAATATCAAAAGAGGAAATAAGAGAAAGAAAATGAATGAGTTAAGAATTTAACAGAAGCTAATAAAAAATAAGATCATAAATCCAAAGAAATGAGAAAAGGAGACTATAAAGATAAGAACAAAAATCAATGAAATACAGAAAGAAATCAATATAGAAGATTAACAAAGCAAAAGTTGGTACTGTGAAAAGATTAATAAGCTAGGAAATCTCGAATAACACTGAACAAGGTGAATCAGAAAAGGATTAAGGAAAACAGACTGAAAAGTGATTTTTAAAATAACAAACAAAAGTGATTTTAAAAGTAGTTTAAAAATTATGAACAAGTATGCAATGATACCTTTGAAGCCCAGGAGAAAATGAATTAATTTCTATAAAGGATATAAAATGTTAGCATGGACACAAGAAGAATAGAAAACTTGAGCAGACTCCAAAAACTAAAGACATTGAAGTAGTGATAAAATGTCTCCTCCAACAAAAGTGTTGGGAAAAGGATCAGTGACCCAAGAAAGAAAGACAAGCAATAGATATGAAAGCATAATTCACAGAGGAAAATCTGAATGGCTATGAAGTGATCCTAGTGGAGAAATACAACTTCTAACAAGATAATTTTTCACCTATTGGATTGGCTAAAACTAGGAAACTTGAAAATACCCAAGTCCAGAGCTCCTAACTAAGGACTGTCGCTTCTCTTGTGGACCAGACCCCATTCCTGCCCTCCTGCTCCAGGGCATTGCTTAGAAAATCTATCCTTTTTCTTTCTTTCTTTTTGTTATTTTACATTGGCATAGAGCATAAACAGAAAGTGCACACACCATGAATGTACTACTTGATGAATTTTCACAAAATGAATGCACTTGTAGAACTACCACCATCAAGAAATGAAACACTTCCTGTGTACTAGAAACCCCATTATGCCTCTCCCTGTCATTACTTTCCTTCTCCCAAAAGTAACCTCTAGCCTTATTTCTAACGCCATGGATTAGGTTTGCGTATTTTAAAATATAATATGCATGGAATCATAGTGCCTTTTTTGTCTTGTTTTTGCCCAAATTTATGTTTGAGATTCATCAGTATTGTTGCATATAGCATTAACCTATTCACCTTTTTTGCAGTATGACATTCTATCAAATTAATATTGCACAATTTATTTTTCCATTCTGCTATTTATGGATATTTGATTCCCCCTTGCCTAGGTTTTGTTACAAATAATGTTGCATGATCATATATACAGTTGATTTTCATTATTCATGGATTTTGTATTTGTGATTTGCCTACTCACTACAATTTATTTGTAACCCCAAAATCATTATTCCTGAAGTTTTCACTATCATTTGTGAACACACACAGACTGGCTAAAAATTTGTTTCCTGACATGCCTGTTCCCAGCTGAGGTTGAGCAAAGCGATGCTCTGCCTTCTTATTTCAGCTCTCATATTGTAAATAAATGTCCTCCTTTGCTATCTATTTAGTGCTGTGCTTTTCTCATTGTTGTGCTCTTTTTTGTTTTTGTTTTGGTGGATTTCGCTGTTTACAATGGCCCCCAAGTGCAGTGCTGATAGTGTTGTTTACTGTTACCAAACACTGGAAGGCTGTGATGGTGCCTTATGAAGAAAATATGTGCATTAGAAAAGCTTCATTCAAGCATGAGTTATAGTCTGTTGGCCATGAGTTGCATGTTAATGAATCAACAACATGTATTGAATAGGATGTCTTTAAACAGAAACAGACATAAAACAAGGTTATGTATTGATCAGTGGATGAAAATGTTGTGACCAGAGGCTCACAGGAGCCTAACTTGTATTTCCCCCAGGAGCAATGGTGTAGTATCCACTGATTCAGTGTCTCTGGTGACTTTATAGAGCTCATGCTGTTGTGAATAACAGGATCAGCTGTAAATGCGTTTTGTTGAATATATAACTAGGAGTCATGTCACTGGGTCGTATGATTGATATATGCTCCACCTTACTAGATCTGTCAAAGAGATTTCAAAGGCATTTCATTCATGCACAGTCCCACCAGAAGCATATGAAAGTTCTCACAGCTCCCTGTCTTTTCCAAAACTTGGTATTGTTAGACTTTCCAATTTTAGCCATTTTGTTGATTTGTAGTGCATCACAGTGTGATTGAATGTGTGCATTTTCCTGATGATTAGTGGTATTTGAGCATCTTTTCCTAAGTTCCTTATTGGTCATTCAGATATCCTGTTTTATGAAGTACTGGTTCAGTCTTTACTGCCATCCCCTTTTAAATTGTATTTTCCGTCTTTTTCTTACTGACCACTCGGAGTCCTATTTATATTCTACAATCAGCCCTTTGTTGGTTGTATGTAGTAGAAATAATTTCTCCCACTCTGTGGCTTGCCATTTCATTCACTTGGTTCTTTTTGATCCATAAGTCCTTAGTATTAAGGAAGCCAAATTTATCACTTGTTTTCATTATGGTCAGTACTTTTTACATTCTGCTTATATTGCTTTTATATTATTTTTATGTTCTGCTTGCCACAAAATCATACTGATATTGTTGTATGCCAAGTTTAATTGTTTTACCTTTCACATTCTGATCTACACTTTACCTGATATTGATATTTGTATCACATGAGCCAGTAATCATAATTTGATTTTTTTCTTATAATGCTATCCAATTGACATAATATTATACAATATATTCAAAAAACTGTCCTTTTCCCACTACACTTTATCTCTAATAGCGCTTTGCTGTTATATCATTCCTGTCCTTTTACTTACAATCTGTATCATTATATTTAATGTATGTCTCTTGTAAGCAACATATAATTGGATTTTGATTTTTTATTCTAATCCACAATCTTTGCTTTTTAAATACAGTGTTTATCTATTTATATTTAATGCAATTTCTGCTATCATTTTGGTATTAATCTTTCTATTTTACTATTTTTCCTATCTGTACCATGTTCACTCTTGTCTTCTTTGTTGCTTTTGTTAAAGCAGTACTTAATTAATTCTTTTTAATTTCCCTCATATTAACTGAATAAAGAATTCTTTTAACCTCTGTGTTTTATTTTTACCATAAAGAGTTCAATATGAATCCTTGAATTTTTAGCCTAATATAAAGGAGTACTTTTACTACTTCTAGGATAGTGCAAGTACCTAAGAATACTTTAATTCCCTTTACTCCCTCTTTCTCTTAGCGCTGGTGGTCATGAATTTTAATTTTAAATATATCTTAGAGCAGAAAGAAATGATTATTGTCATTTTGTACATCAGTCTTCACTTTGGCTTACCCACATATTTACTCTTCCCCTTGTTCTTCATTCCTTCACACTTATCCTTGCTTCTGTCTGGGATCATTCCCTTTATTATGGATGTACTGCCAATGAATTCTCTCAGATTTTGTTTATCTTAAAATGCCTTAATTTTATTTTTATTTTTGAAGAAAATTCAAAAGAATTATACAATTCTAGATTGGCAGTTAATTTCTTTCATAATTTTCGATATGTTGTTTTATTGTCTCCTAACTTTCACCATTTCTGTCACCCCTAATTTTGTTCCTTTGAAGTTAATGTGTGTGTGTGTTTTTTCCCCCTCTGGCAGCTTTTAAGAGTTTTGTTCTGTCTTTGGTGCTCAGCAGTTTCCTTATGATGAACCTTAGTATGTGTTTTCTTTGATCTTTTCCTGCTTTGACTTGTAGTGCTCCCTAAATGTATTGTTTGATGTCATTTGCCAATTTGTGAATGTTCTTAGCTGATATGTCTTCTAATATTGCTTCTGTCTCATTCTTTCTTTTTCCTTCTAACTTAATCATTCATAGACGTGAGCTTTAAAATACTGATGATTAATATGTTCAAGAAAACAGAGGTCATGATGGAGAATTTCAAAAGAGAACTGGAGTATATAATAGAAAGTCAAATCACAAGTAACTACATGGATGGATTGAATAGCAGATTAGATACAGTAGAAGGAAGAATCATTAAATGAAAGATAGATCTGTAGGAAATATCTAGCATAAAGTGGGATGGATAGATGAAAAATATATATTTTCATTGAAAATTCCAGATTTTTGGCTTTCTATGAAAAGTCAAATTTTTGTCAACATTGAGTCTATATTTCCCAAAGTTTAGTTGGCCTGAGCTGATGAGCTGATGAAGTGCTCCCTATAAAGGATATGTCCTCCCTTCTGCCACTGAGGCTGAATATCAGATGTTATGGTTTATATCATCCCTGCTCTGCTCCACTCATTTACGTTACATGCTGGGCATTCTAGGAATTTGAGTTCATGGTCCGTGTTATGTTCTAGCCATAGAGTAGGGAACAAGATAGATATAAGCCCTACCCTCAAAGAAAAGAACCAATAATCACATAAATAATTAGAATTGTGATAAATACTCTGAAGGAAAAGTACAGGGTGCCAAGAAACCCATCATAAATTTCTAGCTGTGAGGCAGGGAAGGTTTCCCCCAAGGAAATCTTATTTAAACTAAGATCTGAGGATAATATGATTTAGCCGGTTGGAGGCCTGGGTGTATGTGTGTTGGTGGGAGATGATGGGGGGAGATGGTGCAGGCACATGAAATAGCACATGCAAAAGTATGTACTTAGCCAGGGAGAGTTAGACAGGTGTGAGGACTCGAAGAAAGCGAGTAGGGCTGAAACACAGACATGGGCAGGGGCTGTGTTATATTGGGCCAGTGAGTCTGAAAAAATATACAGGATTTTGGATGGCCCTTAGATCGAATAGCTAAGACGGACCAACACATTTCATGGTGACTTAATGGTATACAAATTTGGCCCCTCTGAATCTTCTGATTGAAATAATCCCTCACTATGTGAAATTAAGTCATTAAGTACAAGATGACTAGCTGACTTTTAGCCAGGTAGACAAGCTATTGACTTAGTATGATGAAGTATGACTGAGTTCATTTTTATGCCTTGTTCCGTCCCCCTGTGTCTTAGCTGCACGTGTCCTCTGCTTGCAAAAGTGTGGGAAGCTGACTTGGAAGCTTGTCGATTGCTTATCCAGAGCCTGCAACTCCAGGAAGCCAGGGGCAGCCTGTCTATGGACGATGAGAGGCTGATGGATGACGCAGAGGGAGCCGTCTGCACAGCCACTGCAACCGTCCATGCCAGGGCCCACTCGGAAGATGAGAGGAAGACTCCTTTGCAAGCATTTGAAGAATGGAAGGCTCCCCTGATCCCCTCTCCACACTGTGCTGGAGGAGAGCAGAAGGAGGTCTGTCTGTCCTTTCCCCACACCCTGCTGAGCTATGCTCTTTGGGGTGCTTTGGGACCACATTCCAAATGGGGGCAGTAAATACCGGGAGGGCTTCCCATCAAACCATACTAACTCTATAAAGTTTTAATAACTCTTGAATAAGAGGACAGGATACTGTAGAATTTTTGTAGAAGTTTAAAATATACAAGAGCAAAAAAAAAAAAAACCTTTGACATATTTAGTTCTAGTCGCATTCTGATTTAATGGCTAGAGTTAGAATATACAGTCTAATATAGAATTACTACATATAGCATACATTATCTATGTCATATATATAATAGTTATCGTATATACTATATATTATATATGTCATATATGATATTTAATTATATATTTAGAATCTATATATTACAATATTAATTATTTATTAGAATGAAACATTCAAATATATGCATATATCCCCTTGTTTTTACTAAAACCAGATCATAATGTATGTTTATAATGTACTCTTTTCATAAAAACAACAACTAATACGTGGCTGGAGATATATGTATTATAAATTAAAATGTAGTTTTATTTAACTCTCCCTTCCCCTCCCCCTTCTCACAGTCCCTCTCCCACCCCAGTGAAAGGCCCTAGGAGTTTCCCTCCTGCCCCTTCCATGCCCTGAGGCTTCAGAGCTCTTTGCCTGGCCATGTTCTCTAGTGTTCTGAGTGTGAAAAGGAAATGAAAGCATGGAGCACCTGGAAGAATGTGCCACTTGGCCTTCAGGTTTCATGGTTGATGTTAGATGTTACCAGGACTCATTGCAGGTGGGTGGGAGAGTGCTACCCGCCCCTGCCCGCAGGCTGGCCCCATGGCTCATGTCCTGTCTGCAGGACCATGGTCTTTGCAGAGCAGATACTTTCGTGGTCAGTCACTGCCTTCTGGACTGCTAAAAAAACTGATCTTTGACCCTGTATTTGAATTGAATGACATTATAAGAAAGTAGCCATTGTCACTCTGAATCCCTGCTGGTGCAACCACAGTAGGCTCTACCTTGAGCTACCAACATCTGAGAGCCTTTGTTAGCCCAGGTCTGCCAGGAAAGCCTGGCCCCCAGTGCTCTGGGTAGACAGAGGTGTTGAAAACCTACCACCTGCTGCAGGTGGACGGCTTGGAAGAATATTCCAGTGTGGAGGGAAGTGCAGCCTGAGCAAGGGAATAGGAGCCCAGGGTGGAAGAAACCACGGGCTCTGAGGACAAGTCTCTGAAGGTAGGGCTGGCTTTCCAAAGTGAGCTTGGGAGAAGCTTGGGTGGGGCCAACGGCAGCCAGGCGGGCTGTGTGGTGGCGTCCTCTGGGTCTTGACTCTGCTGGAGGTCAGGACTGATTCAGCAGAGCAAGTGGCAACCAGGAATTTTCTCCCTTCCTCCCTCCCTCCTGTAGGGGAGGAAAAGTAATATCTTTCCCTCGCCCATTGAAAGGTTCATGGCTGAGGCACCTATAGAGACAGATTAACGAGAGGAAAAATATACAAATCTATTTAAGTTTCACAAGCCATGGGAAAATTCAGAAACGAAGACCCAAAGAGACAGAGAAGCCTGTGTATTCTTATGCTTAGATTTGGTGAACAGTGGACAGTAGTCAGGAAGAATGACTGCACAAGAGGGGGATGAGCCAGTGGCAGTAAACTCGGGGGCCTCACCACGGTCTGTTTGTTCGAATTCTTTTCTGCATTGCTGTGTTTTCAGAGATAAGGATATTCCTTTCCTTCAGGTATGGGGTGGGAACCTCAAACATGAGGGTGTTATGACCTGCTTTAGAAGGAGGTCAGAGAATTCTTTTATGGCCTGTTTCAAGGGAGAATGGTGGTGGGGTTAGAGATACTTTCCTGCTTTTATTTCCTCAAATGCGAAAATGCCATATTTTGGGGTCATGTGTCCTGAACCCCACATCTCTCTCCCTCCCTCTTTTCCTTCCCCCTTTCCCAGGCTGTCTGGGAACTTACTTTCCTGGGGATAGGGAGATTATTTTTCATCAATAAGATTATAAGCACCTGCCAATGTCATCATCTGGCTATAGGAAAACAGAGCTATAGTTGCTGACAAGTAGGAAGTTTGGGATCAGGGATGGATAAAGAGTGGAATGACCACTCGGATTTTTCGGTCAGGCAGAGGCCCAGGCTGTGACCAGAAGCAGGGGTTCTACGGTGGCTGCTGCTCCATGCTCCAGGGCCACTAAAGAGCCTCCCAGATCCTCTCCAGCAACTGAAATGCTGAGGTTGTCCTACAGTTTGCCGGTTGCTTTCTTGCGGTGGGGGCTGCTCTAGAGGAAGCTTGAAAGCTTTTACTGTCTTGAAAGACCATCTTCCTGTTCCCGTAGCACAGTGGTGGATTTCTATTCACAAGGAGGGCAAGCATTCTTTGAATTTGTCAGTGCCAGAAATTTTCAGTTGATATTTTCTGGGAAGGACAAAATGATGGGACCAGAAATCCCATATTCCATAGATCAGTTGTTTCTAGGTAGGAGAAAGGGGCTCGCTATAAGAACAACAGAAAGGAATTGGGGGCACAGGGGGAGGTTGTGATAGATGTCGTCTGTATCCCAAGAAGAGAAAGATTCAACAAAGGGGAAATCCTGCTTGTTCTGGAGTCCAGGATTTTAGACTGCTGAAAGCAGAGAAATGGTAACTAAGGGTCTCATTAGAAAGGTGTTTTTGTTTTCCTGCCTGTGTTTTCCATGAATCCATTGCCGTCTGGGTACTTGTGCATTTATCCTGTGGCTAAAATGTCTATTTGCTTTGCAGCTCTCAGCTGGTTTAGCTTTGGAACTCCCCACTGGGCCTTGGCCATCCTACGCTGGTTTCTCTATTGAAGCACGATGCCCTGAAGGCAGTCAATTTCTTTTTGACCCAAATCTTCCATGAAAAATTGCTGACTTCTTATAGATGTCCACAGGGAGATGGGTTTTCAAAGCCTTTGCTGTGCTCATCTGGCCAATGTGGGGCATGCATTCTGGTGGTACTTTGTTCTCAGGAGCGCTTGCTTTGTCATTAATTAAAGCCTTCCCTGAGTTTATGGTCCCTGCCAGGCTGTGAGCGCCATTTCCCCATTATACAGCCAGTCCCATTAAGGCAAAGTAATTTGCTTTGGGCTTTGTTACAGAGGAAGTCAGCAACAGGGCTCAAGGCCAGCGTTAGCATGCACTTCCTCAAATTGCAAGAGCCCTTTTTTTTTCAGTTTCATTACAGCTCTCCTCCGAGCCTTTCCGAGGACTCTGGAAACAATCAGCTGCTGTTGGCCCCAGTTCACAGATGTTACAGAAATTGCACAGGGGCCAGACAGGAGCTGGGAACTCAGTGAGCCAAGCTTCCTCCTCTGGGAAGGTGCTCTTTCAGACTGGCTGTTCTGCCCATTTTACCTGCGTGATTTTTTCTTTCCTGTCTGCGACATGTCCTGCTGGGGTGCTTTCTGTTCCTACAGAATGGGCTCGCCTCCTGCGGAGCTCCCTGGGCAGGGTCACTCCCCACTGACTTCTCATCCCAGCTGCTTCCTTTCTGAGCCAGTCGCTGCCACCAAAGAGGCAAGTCGAGTCACCCATGCAGCGTTTAAGTAGCCAGAGTGCGAACACATCTGCAGTGAAAGGAATTAGCAATGAGACACACCCCAACAGTGCAGCTCCACTTCTTCAGATTTACGTCTCCAAAACTCGTTATAGGTTTAGGGGCAAAAAGGTGTGATGCCTTTCCTCACCCATCGTAAGGGTCGCAGCCTGACTCTCCTATAACAAAAGATAAGTTAACAAGAAAAGCATAACAAGTTTATTTAATCGAAGTTTTATGTGACACGAGAGCCTTCAAAAATGAAGAGCCAAAGACCTAGGGAAAATTGTGTATTTTTGTGTTTAGGTCTAATGAAGAATCAATAGCTATCAAGAAACAGATTGGACAAAGGGGATGATCTAATGGTAATAGACTGGGCAGGGCAGGGGAGGACCAGCAAGCCCTGCCTGTTCTGGTTCTTCTTGGCCTCTCCATGTAGCATTCCTTCCTCCTGGGTATGGGGCAGGAATGAAGGAATGAGGGTCTCCCAGGGAGAAGGGAGAGAGTGACCTTTCCAGGTTTTATGGCTTGCTTTGCGGGGAGAGGAGTCCTGATTTCTATGAACCCAGCTTGGGGAAGAGGAATTCTGGTTTCTACGGCTTGCATCTGGGGTTGGGAGACAGGAGGGCAGGAGAAGATCAGAGAGACCTTGCATCTGAGCCCTTCCAGTCTCCTTTAGTTCAAAGTGCTCTGTGTGCCAAAGTGCCACACTTTGGGGTATCGTGTTCTAAGCCCCAACGCAGGCATCTCCATTCCTTTTTACTCAATGTCATGTGAAAAGAAAGCTGGAAGAGCGGATCCATGATGAAGACCTGTGTCCTCCTCATCTTAAACTCATTTCTAATTCTGGGAAAATCTCTAATGAACAAAAGCGCTTCCTCTTCCGTCGTGGCAGGTGCAGGTCTGATTCTTTCTTTTCTCTGTGGCTTACTGGCTCTGGGGTAGCTGGAAACTCACTTTGGCTCTCCAAGGAGCACGTCCCAAACTACATGATCTCTTGATGTCTCTTCCACCTCCAAGTTTATGCGATGACAAGGGACAGATGATCACTTACCTATCAGCTGGCGTAAAGTGTTTCGGGAGAAAGCAAAGAGCTGGGGCGTGAAGAAAAGTTCTACCTCCGCTACATTTTGGAGTATGGCAGACCCAGCTGTCGCACCCAAGAGTAGAGCAGTAGAAGCAATCAGGATGCAATCAGGATTGGTGATTGGAGAGTTAATTAAAAAGTCAGAAAAGGCAGAGAATCATAGAAAATGATACATGTGCATTTTAAACCTTTTTTTTAATTGAAAATATATATATTCATTTGCCAATCATTTGATATAGGACCAAGGATTTTTTTTCTGTCTATGGTCTACTGATTGGCTTTTTGCATGGCCCTTGTTGCATAAACCTGACCTATCATGCATCATCTACAATTTCTAGTTTTGGTGTCTT